TTTGTCATCTTTTGGTCATCCTAGGTCTGAAAGGAGGTTCCTAAACTCATGTCCAAGTAGGATGGCCTTCCAAGTGTAGGTCTTCATGGTGGGTCCATAGATGACTGTGGAGACCTCTTCTTGATCTGCACGTTCTTCCACAGTGAGGGCATCAGTTTCCAGATACTTATAGTTGGCTTGATGTGCCTTCTTCCTCTTGACCAGTTTCTCCCTTTCGCCCTCCATTCGTGTCTCTTCAGATTCCACACCACTGTTGGCAACAGCTGACCTCTACTCAGAACACTCAAGGAGCAAGATTTCCCAGTTCTCTCTCGGTGTCAATGTCACATTCTTTAAGGTTGGCAGGACATCCTGCTATACTTACTTAGGCGATATCTTGTTGTCCGAGTATGATGGCCTTCCAAGTGTAGGGTTTTGGTGGTGGCCCTGTAGATGACGGTGGAGACCTCTTCATGACCTGCATGTTCATCTGCAGTAATGACATTGGTTTCCAGGTGGAAGGCATTCCCAGTCAGGGTTGACTTGACGCGCTTTCTTCCTCTTGGCATGTTTCTCCCTTGCCCTCCATTTCTGCCTCTTCGAATTCCGCAGCACTGCTGGTCACAGCTGACCTCTAGTTAGAGTGCTCAAGGGCTTCTTGGTGTCTATGCCACAGTTTTTAAGGTTGGCTTCAAGACGATCTATAAATTGATGGACCATTTCCTGTCCATCAATATTCCATTTTCCATTCTTGAGTTGGGAGTAGAGTAACAGCTTTGGGAGATGGTGATCAGGCATTCATACAATGTGGCTGAAGTTGATTGTTAAGGATCACCACTTCGATGCTGGTGGTCTTTGCTTCTTCTAGCACATGGCACATATTTCATGTGTAATGCAAAAGAAAGAAAGAACAATTCAATTTTAATCAACATAAACTTAACAGTATTTCTGTGTAAGACTCCCAGGGCCATCCAGCCTTTGCAATAAGTTTTTTTGTATCAGGAGCAACTTGAGAAACTGCAAGTCGCTTCTGGTTCTGGTGTGTGAGAATTGGCCGTCTGCAAGGACGTTGCCCAGGAGACGCCTGGATGTTTTACCATCCTGTGAGAGGCTTCTCTAATGTCCCCGCATGGAAAGCTAGAGCTGACAGACGGGAGCTCACCCTGCTCCCTGGATTCAAACCGCCGACCTTCTGGTCAGCAGTCCTGCTTAACCCATTGTGCCACTGAAGGCTCCTTTTGCAATAATCATAGTAGTAGTAGTAGTAGTAGTAGTAGTAGTAGTAGTAATAGTAGCAGCAACCCCAGGGTCCACCCAGTCCAACCCGTTTCTGCCATGCAGGGAAAGCACCAATCAAAGCAAGAGAGGAGATTCCATCTGAACATGAGGAAGAACTTCCTGACTGTGAGAGCTTTTCAGCAGTGGAACTCTCTGCCTTGGAGCGTGGTGGAGGCTCCTTCTTTGGAAGCTTTTCAACAGAGGCTGGATGGCCATCTGTCAGGGGTGATTTGAATGCAATATTCCTGCTTCTTGGCAGAATGGGGTTGGACTGGATGGCCCAGGAGGTCTCTTCCAACTCCTTGATTCTATGATTCTTTGAAAGCACCCCCAACAGATGACCACCCAGGCTTGGAAATCGTAATAATACATCTGCATAATAATACATCTGGCTCTGCAGCTGGAGGTTTTGCTGCTCTCTGGGTCTCAAAGAGCCGAGCGCTCTGTGTGTGATTCACGCCTCTGCAAGGATTTGGAGGACAAAACTTGCCAAATATGTGGGGGTTGGTGCGCTGCCGCCGTTGTGTGCGCGTGGAGGCTGCTGTCTGCTGACAAAGCACTTTTGCTCAACGCTCGGATTCCTGGCTGCTGCACGCACTGTTTGTTTTGTCTAGCTTTGCAACAAACAAGGTTGTTTGTGGGACTCCTGCAAACAGGCTCAGAAGTGCTTTTTGGCGATCTCAATGCCGCTCTTCTTCACTATCGTGTATCTTCAATATCTCTGCCTGATAAGGGGGTCTGGCATTCCTCCCCCCCCCCATGTGCCAAAGACTCAGACCATAATTGTAGCCACTGGCCATAGTTGTCCCTTGCGTTTCCAGAAATGCAAAAGAGATCAGAAGCCAAAGCCTCTCTTGTAATGTCTTGCAAAACAATCGTCCTATTAAAGCGCCTCTTTTGCCTCAACCACTGACTTTGAGATTGCTATATTGGCGTATTTTTGCTTCAACACTAATATTTACCAATAGTGTAAAGTCTCAGCAAAAGTTTGCTCTAGGCACTGCCAGGCCATCAAATGCTAATCAAGGTGGTCAGTTGAAACATTCACACCTAGCTCCAGCAGACAAGAATCCTTTGTCTCACCCTGGTCATTCCACAGATATATAAACCCTTTTTCCTAGTTCCAACAGACCTCACTTCCTCTGAGGATGCTTGCCATAGATGCAGGCGAAACGTCAGGAGAGAATGCCTCTAGACCATGGCCATATAAAATTTTGCATGGAGGTTGCATAGGTTTGGAACAGTCAACGTGTTGATGTTAGATGCCGCCAAAATACTATTTTAGTCCAGGATTGAGAAGACCTCATTGAATCCGGTAGATGTGTCTACATGTCATTAAGTCATAGAATCCTAGAGTTGGAAGAGACCTCATGGGTCATGAGGTCTCTTCCACAGGGAGGAGGGAGCAAGCTTGTTTTCTGCTTCCCTGGAGACTAGGACGCAATGGAACAATGGCTTCAAACTACAAGAGAGGAGATTCCATCTGAACATGAGGAAGAACTTCCTGACTGTGAGAGCCGTTCAGCAGTGGAACTCTCTGCCCCGGAGTGTGGTGGAGGCTCCTGCTTTGGAAGCTTTTAAACAGAGGCTGGATGGCCATCTGTCAGGGGTGATTTGAATGCAATATTCCTGCTTCTTGGCAGAATGGGGTTGGACTGGATGATGGCCCAGGAGGTCTCTTCCAACTCTTTGATTCTATGATTCTATGATCGGCATGTTCTCCCGCAGTGAGGACATTGGTTTCCAGGTGGAAGATGGTCCTGGGCTGGGTTGGCTTGATGCACCTTCCTCTTGGCACGTAAGCCCCATGAGGTCTCTTCCAACTCTATGATTCTATGATTCCCTTTCACCCTCCATTCGTGCCTCTTCAAATTCTATAGCACTGCTGGTCACAGCTGACGTCGAGCTGGAGTGCTCAAGGCCAGGGCTTCCCAGGTCTCGATGTCTATGCCACAGTTTTTAAGGTTGGCTTTCAGCTCATATTTAAATCTCTTTTCCTGTCCATCAACATTACATTTTCTGTTCTTGAGTTGGGAATAGAGCAAGACGGTGGTCAGGCATCCGAACAACGTGGCCCATCCACCAGAGTTGATGGCGGAGGACCATCACTTCAATGCTGGTGGTCTTGGCTTCTTCCAGCATGCTGACATTTGCCCACTTATCTTCCCAAGAGATTTGCAGGGCTTTTCAGAGGCAACAATGATGGAATTGTTCCAGGAGTTGCATGTGACGTCTGTAGACAGTCCACATTTCGCAGGCATATAGCAGGGTTGGGAGGATAATAGCTTTATAAACAAGCACCTTGGTATCCCTACGGATGTCCCAGCCCTCAAACACTCTGTGCTTCATTCGGAAGAATGCTGCACTCGCAGAGCTCAGGCGGTGTTGACTTTTGTGGAGAGGTGGCTGCCAAGGGAGCTGCCAAGGGAGCGGAAATGGTCCACATTTCCTAATGCTACACCATTAAGCTTCATTTCTGGCATTGCAGATGGATTGGTTAGTGACTCCTGGAAGAGCACTTTGGTTTTCTTGATGTTCAGTGACAGGCCGAGTATTTTATATGCTTCTGCAAAGGTGTTTAGAGTGGCTTGTGGGTCTTCTTCTGAATGTGCACAGACGACATTGTCATCAGCATATTGGAGTTCTATAACTAGTTAGGGCTCATGGGAGACGTGTTTGGTACAAGGGTGGAAAATGCAATCTTTCAGACTAACAACAACATCAGTTAATGACAATGGGGAAGATAGTCCAGGCCTCCAGATGCTTATGAGTTTTCTAATGAAGCTGGTTTTCTGGCATTGCAGATGGATTGGCTGGTGCCTTCTGCTGGAAGAGCACTTTGGTTTTCTCAGTGTTCAGTGAGGGCTTCTCATATGCTTCTGCAAACAAGTTGTAATAACAGTAGACTCATTGTATGTGACCATGAAAAGCAAGGAGCTCTCATAGAAGAGACTCCTTGAGTTAGAAGGTTCTTTACGGACGATCAGGTCCAACTCCCTACTCGATGCATGGCCTTCAACTAGAACATCCCCAGCTGGTATCTTATGGTCCATGGTAACAACAGTAGACTCATTGTATGTGACCATGAAGGGCAAGGAGCTCTCATAGAAGAGACTTCTTGAGTTAGAAGGTTCTTTATGGACCATCAGGTCCAACTCCCTACTCGATGCATGGCCTTCAACTAGAACATCCCCAGCTGGTATCTTATGATCCATGGTAACAACAGTAGACTGATTCTATGTGACCATGAAGGGCAAGGAGCTCTCATAGAAGAGACTCCAAGAGTTAGAAGGTTCTTTATGGACCATCAGGTCCAACTCCCTACTCGATACATGGCCTTCAACTAGAACATCCCCAGCTGGTATCTTATAATCCATGATAACAACAGTAGACTCATTCTATGTGACCATGAATGGCAAGGAGCTCTCATAGAAGAGACTTCTTGAGTTAGAAGGTTCTTTATGGACCATCAGGTCCAACTCCCTACTCAATGCATGGCCTTCAACTAGAACATCCCCAGCTGGTATCTTATGAGCCATGGTAGCAACAGTAGACTCATTGTATGTGACCATGAAGGGCAAGGATCTCTCATAGAAGGGACTTCTTGAGTTAGAAGGTTCTTTATGGACCATCAAGTCCAACTCCCTACTCGATGCATGGCCTTCAACTAGAACATGCGCAGCCATTATCCTATGATCCATGGTTGACTCTTCCCACACCTTTCTCTCTCTCTTCTGATCTAGGAATGGACCTTTCAGCCAACCAGGATGAAGAGAGTGATCAAGAAACCTTCCAACTGGAAATCAACAAAGAGACCAAGAAATGCACCTTCAGGACTTATACTGGGAAATACTGGACACTCACCTCCAACGGCGGAGTGCAGTCCACTGCCTCAACTAAGTGAGTCCTCCCAGAGGGAACTGTGGGAAATAGTTGATTATTTTAGAGGGGAGAGCTCTTATTTATCGCAATCTTTTGGGGAGGGCGTACCATGGTTTGACAACATATAGCCATCACCATAATGGGTGTCAGAGGGGTCGCCAAAGATCATCAGAAAACACATGGTCATGGGGGTTCTGTGTAAGAAGTTTAGTCCAATTCTATCATTGGTGGGGTTCAGAATGGTCTTTTATTGTAGGTGAACTATAAATCCCAGCAACTACGACTCCCAAATGTCAAGGTCTATTTCCTCCAAACTCCACTAGTGTTCACATTTGGGCATATTGAGTGTTCGTGTCAAGTTTGGTCCAGATCCACCATTGTTTCAGTCCACAGCACTCTCTGGATGTAGGTGAACTACAACTCCAAAACTCAAGGTCAACGCTCACCAAACCCTTCCAGTATTTTCAGTTGAGCATGCCAAGTTTGGTTCAATTCCATCGTCGGTGGAATTCAGAATGCTCTTTGATTGCAGGTGAACTATAAACCCCAGCAACTACAACTCCCAAATTACAAAATCGCCACCACCCCCCAACCCCACCAGTATTCAAATTTGGGCATATTGGGTATTTGTGCCAAATTTGGTCCAGTGAATGAAAATACTTCCTCCATATCAGATATTTACATGACAATTCAGAACAGGAGCAACATTACAGTTAGGAAGTAGCAACGGAAACACTGTTCTAGAGCCTGCCTCCATCTTAATAGCCTACCTGTCCTCTCTTTCTTTCTCTCTCTCTTTCTCTCTCTCTGTCTGTGCCACAGCAGGAATGCTAATTGTTACTTCGACATCGAGTGGTGTGACCGGCGTATCACCCTGAAGGCCACCAATGGCAAATACGTCACGGCAAAGAAGAACGGGCAGCTTGCGGCCTCTGTCGAAACTCCCGGTAAGGAGGCTTTGTCCCTCGTGCACATTTAGAGACGTTAAATAAAGTCTTACGTGTTTTATTGCTCATGATGTACAAGAAAAATTGAGGAGCTTGAAAAACTGCGTGTTTTGTGGAATATAAATAATTTCCTGCACAGATGTCTTGTTTGCCCAAATTAATGTTTTTTGCGGAAAAGAGACGTACAGTGTTCCCTCACTTATCGCGGGTTAGAAGGCATGATCATCAAGTTTGCAGACGACACCAAATTGGGAGGGAGAGCCAAGACTCCAGAGGACAGGAGCAGGATTCAAAACGATCTTGACAGATTAGAGAGATGATGGGCCAAAACTAACAAAATGAAGTTCAACAGGACAAATGCAAGATACTCCACTTTGGCAGGAAAAACGAAATGCAAAGATACAAATGGGGGAATGCCTGGCTCGAGAGCAGGACGTGTGAAAAAGATCTTGGAGTCCTCGTGGACAACAAGTTAAACATGAGCCAACAATGTGATGTGGCGGCAAAAAAGCCAATGGGATTTTGGCCTGCATCAAGAGGAGCCTAGTGTCTAGATCTAGGGAAGTCATGCTCCCCATGCTCTATTCCGCTTTGGTTAGACCACACCTGGAATATTGTGTCCAATTCTGGGCACCACAATTCAAGAGAGATGTTGACAAGCTGGAATGTGTCCAGAGGAGGGCGACTAAAATGATCAAGGGTCTGGAGAACAAGCCCTATGAGGAGCGGCTTAAGGAGCTGGGCATGTTTAGCCTGAAGAAGAGAAGGCTGAGAGGAGATATGATAGCCATGTATAAATAATGTGAGAGGAAGCCACAGGGAGGAGGGAGCAAGCTTGTTTTCTGCTTCCTTGGAGACTAGGACGCGGAACAATGGCTTCAAACTACAAGAGAGGAGATTCCATCTGAACATGAGGAAGAACTTCCTGACTGTGAGAGCCATTCAGCAGTGGAACTCTCTGCCCTGGAGTGTGGTGGAGGCTCCTTCTTTGTAAGCTTTTAAACAGGGGCTGGATGGCCATCTGTCAGGGGTGATTTGAATGCAATATTCCTGCTTCTTGGCAGAATGGGGTTGGACTGGATGGCCCAGGAGGTCTCTTCCAACTCTTTGATTCTATGATTCTATGTTGTCATCTACAAGCATGGGAAAGGAAATTGCAATGAATACCTTTATATTTTTTATGTTGGAAAAGGTGACACTGGAGGGAGCTAAGAGTAATAAAACTAAAATGGAAGAAATAAGTAGCCAAAAGTTAAGTAACCACAGTGGGTCACAAATGTTTAGCTCAGGACTTGTTGACTTCCACAATGTTTCACCGATTCCTCTCATCTCTGAACTTTAGCTGTACTGGTTGGGAATGATGAGAGTCAGGTCCAAGATACTTAGAAGATGCCAGATTGTTGGCCGTCTTTGGTTTAAAAGGATTTCAGGGCATTTCATGGATGTTTCCCATGATGAATATTAATCTTGTGATATGAAGTCAACCAACCCATCTTTGCCCATCTTTCTCTGGTGACAGGTGAGACGGAGTCCTTCCTCATGAAGCTGATTAACCGGCCAATCATTGTCCTTCGGGGAGAGCATGGCTTCATTGGCTGCCGGAAGGTGACCGGCACCCTGGATTCGAACCGCTCCTCTTACGACGTCTTTCAACTGGAGTTCAATGACGGAGCTTACAATATCAAAGGTATTAACATCAGGAATACTTTTTAAATATTGAAAATGTTATTTTATCCCATTTCCAGTGAGACAGAGTATATTGGGCATTTTACAGAGAAAGAAATAGTCACACAGACTACATATAGCGACATTGATTACACAACAAAGGAATATTACATTTTACTCAACATCCACACACATAAACATTCATTCCCAATGCATACATTGTCATCCCTTCTTCCTTCTCCTAGAGAAGAGAACTGAATGAGGATCAGATTTCGTTCCCTGCAAATCTACCATTCTGATGACATACCATCCCTTTCTGTCTCTTGGAGAAAGAGGCGGGTGACCAGATCCTGCATTCTTGCTGTCTGCCACACTTTTGGAAAACAAGAAGGTCTCTCATATAGCACTTTTTTGCTGCTGTTGTTCCAAATTGATTAATTGACGTATTGACCACTAAAACATGCTGACTCCATCAATTCTGGACAGATGTCTTTTCTACTTAACGTTAGGAGCATTGTTTGACTTCCTTAACTTAAAAAAAATCATTGTCTTTGACTATGTAAACGGGTTGTTTTCAACCAAGAGTTAAACATTGTCTTGGTTGAAAACAACATGTTCACATAGTCAAAGACAATGACTTTGACTATTCCTGCTTCTAGGCAGGGGGTTGTACTGGATGGCCCATGAAGTCTCTATGATTCCATGATTCTATGTAAACATGTTGTTTTCAACCAAGAGTTAAACATAGTTTTGGTTGAAAACAACATGTTTACATAGTCAAAGACAATGACTTTGACTATTGCTGCTTCTAGGCAGGTTGTTGGACTAGATGGCCCATGAAGTCTCTTCCAATTCTATGATTCCATGATTCTATGTAAACATGTTGTTTTCAACCAAGAGTTAAACATTGTCTTAGTTGAAAACATTATGTTCACATAGTTAAAGACAATGACTTTGACTATTGCTGCTTCTAGGCAGGTTGTTGGACTAGATGGCCCATGAAATCTCTTCCAACTCTATGATTCTATGTAAACATGCTGTTTTCAACCAAGAGTTAAACATTGCCTTGGTTGAAAACAACATGTTTACATAGTCAAGGACAATGATTTTGACTATTCCTGCTCCTAGGCAGGTTGTTGGACTAGATGGCCCATGAAATCTCTTCCAACTCTATGATTCCATGATTCTATGTAAACATGTTGTTTTCAACCAAGAGTTAAACATTGTCTTGGTTGAAAACAACATGTTTACATAAAGACAATGACTTTGACTATTCCTGCTTCTAGGCAAGGGGTTGGACTGGATGGCCCATGAAGTCTCTTCCAACTCTATGATTCCATGATTCTATGTAAACATGTTGTTTTCAACCAAGAGTTAAACATTGTCTCTGGCTATGTCAGCAGCTCATGAATTCTTCACCTCATTTTTGCAATTTTTCCAGGTTTTATTGTCAGAATGGTATCTTCAGTGTTCACCAGACCCCATTCATACACATTTCATAAAATTTCATTCAATTCACACATCATGTTTATGACCTCTCTCCCTTTGAAAGGGCAGACTCTTTTGATGATCGAGTGACGATGCATCCTTGATTCATTCCCTAGCTCTAAAACCAGGCCTTCCTGCTAAAGTCCCATGGAGGGACAAACAACTCCGCTTCCCAAGAAGACCTACATTCACTGTTCAAACGGAGAAGCTTAGTTTCTAGAGATGTTACAAGCTATCTGGTCAATGCCAGTAGATGGGCTGTCTTTGCACTTCACCATTCTCTCCTTCCTATCCTTACTCTGACTTGGTAGCGTAAATCATAGGGAAAATGGAGAAAATCATGGGCACTTATTTAAATTATGGTTTTATTCCACAACGCTCTGAAGCCTCATCTACACTGACAGCCTACTGGCTGTTAGGAATTCTGGGAGTTGAGGTCCAAAACACCTGGAGAGCCAAAGTTTGCCCATGCCTGTTATATCACTTTTCCAGCTTTTCTGCTGGTGATGCTCTTCCCACGGTGCCGTCAATGGCCTGCTGACCGTTTCCCGTCTGACTTTTCAGATTCCACTGGGAAATACTGGATGGTGGGCAACGAGTCCTCAATCACCAGCAGCAGCGACACGCCGGTGGACTTCTTCTTTGAGTTCTGCGACTACAACAAGGTGGCCATCAAAGTCAACGGCAAATACCTGAAGGGCGACCACGCCGGCGTCCTCAAAGCCACCGCCGACTCCATCGACCCCTCCACCCTCTGGGAGTATTGAATGCACTTTAGCCTCCTTCCCTCTGCTCTTTCGTGCTCTCTTCTTCTTCCTCCCTCCTCCTCCTCCTCCCCTTTCAGTTGCCAATATATATATTTTTCGTTTGTGGGTTATTTTTCAATGTTCTGGCGTGTCTTTCCCTAAAAAAGGGGGGTGATCTTTCAGATTGGCCTGCTGCTTATATATCGCTGTATAAGTTTTTTGGGGGTGGGGTGGGGGTGTAGAGGGTTACTTCTTTTCGTTATGTCAGCCTCTTTTTTATTATTATTATGATGACAAAAACTGGAAAATGTTAACTAACCTGCAGGAAAAAAGAACAAAAACAAAACCAAGGTGCACTCTTCTGCACAGACTATTTTTTGGAGGGGAGCGTTGGAAACCTCCTGGCCTCTGTGCTGATCCTCTGAGTTGAAAAGGGAATATATATCCCACTGTATAAGTAGAAACCAGCCCTCTTGATCGCTTGGCAGCCTCCTCGCAAGAGTGCCTATCGAGCTCAGTTGTCGTTTGAGTCGCCGTCATCATACCCAACGGCTCGGCACAATTATCCTTCTACCAGTTTTCCAAAACTGGATTTACCTTCTGCGGTTGGTTCGTTGGTGGTCACTTTTCTTGGGGTTTGATCCCTACGTCGAGCTCCTTCCTTTCTCTAGCCAAAAGCAGGGAAGTAGAAACCATCCCTCTTGATCTCTTGGTGGTCTTCTCGCAAGAGTGCCTATTGAGCTCAGTTGCCGTTTAAGTCGCCGTCATCATGCCCAACGGCTCGGCACAATTATTATCCTCCTACCGGTTTACTGAAACTGGATTTGCCTTCTGCGATTGGTTCGTTG